AAAAGATGTTGCTGATGGTCACAAGAAAAGACGAAGAGAGATTTCAAGACCAGTGGTACTTGGACTCAGGATGCTCATCACACATGACTGGAAGGAAAGATTGGTTTGTCAACATGAAGCCCTACAAAGAAGATGGTAAATTTGCAAATGACAATACTCTAGCAACTGAAGGTATTGGTGTTGTTCTAATTATGAGGAAATATGGAAAGAGGTCAACAATTTCCATGTGTTGTACATTCCAGGCATGAAGAGTAATTTGCTCAGTATAGGACAGCTAGTCGAAAAGAACTACAAGGTAGTTGTCGAAGATAATATGATGAGAGTTCTCAATGCAGGTGGTAGGCTGATCTTGAAGGCTCCAATGTCTCAGAATAGGACCTTCAAGATTGAACTCAATGTGATGGAGCACAAGTGCCTAGCAACTGCAGCCAACAAAGATGAGTGGTTATGGAATTTTTGACTAGGTCATCTTACCTTCAATAACATCAGAGAGCTAAAGAGAAGAAATATGGCTTCAGGATTATCTGAAATTGACATTCCAAATGAAGTATGTAAAGAGTGTATTCAGTCCAAACAACACAAGAATAACTTTAGCAAGGATGCAGGAAGGAAGTCGAAGGCAACTCTGGAAGTCATATACTCTGATCTGTATGGTCCAATCTAGGTGGATTCAATTGCAGGCAATAAATACTGTATCACGTTCATAGATGATTACAGTCGAAAGATGTGGACTTACCTCATCAAGAAGAAAAGTGATGTGATCGAGGTATTTTCCAGATTCAAATTTATGATCGAAAGACAGAGTGGTTGAAAGTTGAAAATTTTGAAGACTGATGGTGGTGGAGACTAAGTGTCGAAAGAGTTCGATGCATTACGTGAAAAAGAAGGGATTGTACATGAGGTGGTGCCACCCTACACTCCACAGATAAATGGAATTGCAAAAAGAAAGAACAAAACCATCATGAACATGGTGAAAAGTATGTTGAATAGAAAACATCTACTCAAAGAATTATGGGGAGAAGCAGTTTTGACAGCAACATACATATTAAACAGATGTCCGACAAGAAGCTTGAAAGAATCACACCAGATGAATGTTGGTCTGGTGTCAAGCCTAGCCTCAGTCACTTAAAGGTGTTTGGATCTATAGCACATAGATATGTGCCAGATCAGTTAAGAATGAAGCTTGATGACAAGTCGAATCAGATGATCTTGATAGGATATCATTTGATTGGAGGTTATAAGTTGTTCGACCCAGTGAATAAGCAGGTAGTGATCAACAGGGAGGTGATCATAGATGAGCTTAAAAAATGGGATAGCAATGAGAATGTCAAGAAGGATTCAGTGAGAATCTCGTGTGAAGAATCAAATACTGAAGTCGAAAGAGAAGTTCAACGGGAACAGGTCAGAGATGAAGCAGGCCCAAGCAAACATCGACAAACAAGACACATTTCTGCAAGGATGCAAGAATGTGTGATTACATTAGATGATGTGGTCGGTGAAGAAAGTGAGCTGGTATACTATGCTTTCTATGAAGTTGTCAGACCAGTTAATGCAGCTGAGGCATTGAAAGATTCGAAGTGGGTGAAAGCAATGAATGAAGAGTTAGAGTCCATCGAAGTCAGCAACACTTGGTCACTTGTTGAATTGCCTCAAAACAAGAAGGCAATTGATGTGAAATGGCTTTACAAGGTGAAGGTGAATCCTAAAGGATAAGTAACTCGACACAAGGCGAGACTTGTGGCGAAAGGATTTCTATAGAAGGAAGGAATCGAATTCGACGAAGTTTTTGCACCTGTTGCTAGGATCAAAACAATCAGATTGGTTGTTGGTCTAGAAAACATGAACAATTGGCACACATGTCATATGGATGTGAAACAACTAGGTTTGTGAAACAAGGCAAAGAAAGAAAGGTGTACAGGCTGCATAAAGCCCTATATGGACTTAAGCAAGCTCCAAGAACTTGGAATAAGAAGATCGACAGCTTTCTAAGAGAGAAGGAATTTTTGAAGTGTACAACAGAACATGGAGTATATGTAAGAAGAAGCATTGGTGAATTGCTTATACTATGTCTCTATATCGATGATCTGTTGATAACAGGAAGTTGCAAGAAGGAGATCGAAGATTTCAAACATGACCCGGGTGAGGAGTTTGAAATGTCAGACTTGGGGAATCTTTCATATTTCCTTGTCATCAATTCTATAAGAGCAGTAGAGGTTTGATGATGCACCAAAGAAGATATGCAGGCGAAATACTCAAGAGATTTGAGATGCAAGATTGCAACCCAACTTTGACTCCAGTTGATACTAGATTGCAATAGTTGAAAGATTCAGATTCAGATGATGTCGACCCAACCCAATATAGAAGACTTATTAGGTCACTTAGATACCTTTGTCACACAAGGCCTGACTTAGCATACAGTGTGGGTATGGTAAGTAGATTTATGCAGAAGTCAAAAGTATCACGCCTAACCGAGACGAAGGAGATACTGAGGTATCTGAAAGGGACTCTCAATTACGACATTTTTTTCCTGTAGCTAATGAAGGAAAAGAATGCAAGTTAGTGGGATACACCGACTCTAGTTGGTGTAGAGATGCTGGGGATAGAAAATCCACAACTGGCTATGTGTTTATGTTAAGTGGTGCATCAGTTGCTTGGAGTTCGAAAAAGGAGCCAGTAGTGGCATTGTCATCATGCAAAGCATAATATATAGCTGCTTCTCTTTGTGCATGTCAAGCAACCTGAATGGTGAACCTGGTCGAAGATATCACAACGAAGAGTCATGGAGAAATTACCATGAAGATCGACAGTATTTCAGCAATCAACTTGGCGAAGAATCCAATAGCACACGGTCAAAGCAAGCACATCAAAATGAGGTTCCATTATCTTCGAGAATAGGTAGTAGAAGGGAAGATGAACTTGAAACACTGCAGAACTGAGAATCCGATTATAGACATCATGACAAAGGGAGTGTCAGTCGAAGTGTTCAAGAAGCTAAGGTCTATGATGGATGTAGATAGTTTAGACACAATGAATTAGGTGGTGTGTTAAATATGTAATTCATTGTTTTAGAAATATTAGATTTGATTTAGAAAGGTTAGATTGTATTTAGAAATATTAGATTAGATATTTTTTGGGCTTTTATAGTTTACATTTTACCTCGAGATGCAATTTAACCTAAATCTATAAATAGGGAGGAACCCTTATCATCATAATCATCAAGTTTGATAATCACGGTTTTGCATTTGCAAAATGATAATAAAATTCCACAGTGGTGGGTGATTCGCGGTCGCTCGCGGATCAAAACGAGTGTTTTTATAAAAATGCTAGTATAGCGACAAATGACTCGAAATATCGTTCTCACAAGGATTCTTGTATTATTTCAACCAACTAAAGAAAATGTTTATGGGGGTTTTAAGTTTTGATTTATAAAATAAGAAAAAAAAGTGATTAAAAAAAGTGATTATCAGATAAACTAAAACGGTTAATCCTACTGATTCGGGTTCCGACTTATCATCGGTTATTATAACATCAATCCCTAAGCGGTACCAATCCTATTCGATTATGATATTAATCAGACAAGCGCTTATCAACATCAAATGAATTATGTTCCTGTTTACCGAATTAAGCAAACGGTTAAGAATATGACGAATTAACGAATTAAGCAAACGATAATACGCAATTAAATTTAGGAACATGCATACAATCGAATTTAACCAATTCTATCCTATGAACAACAATTGAATTAAGCAAACAATTGTAATCAAATTAAGCAGATGACTTCATAGAAAAGGATTGAAAGGAATCAGAGTAAATTGACATAATAATAACCTCAAAGTGTTGAAACCGTACACAGCAGGATTTGCCCGGAGGTATTAGTTCTCCATAAAAACTATAAAACAAAGGAAAAAATTCGGAAAAATAAACTAGGTCCATGTTTTGCATCACAACAACAACTTTAAATAGAAAATAACTGGGCCAGAAACCTAAACTAGGCCCGCAAGGAAAACTACATTGTCACAAGTCAGAAACTTCAACGAATTATTCGAGACTCAAGAAATCCGAATCAGCTCCTTTGTGCAACATGAAAGTTGTAGATCTCTTTCTTAGCTTTCCAACGACTGGTAGAATGCCTCAATCCGATTCCTGTAGCTCCAGTTATGAATTCTTCACTAAAAGCTATTAATGCTGAAAAATAACAAACGAAAATTAAATAAAGCTTAAAATAAAATAAATTGTAAAAACATTATAAAATAGGAAATTAAATAAACTAAATGGTAGAAATGCCTAAGTCTAAACATAGAGGAAGGTACATTAAAATGCACTGATCAGTGGGCAGAGAGTTACTTTGCAGTTCATACTCATCTTCTTTAGACGTGTTCTTGTTTTGTTCATTATCATTACATAACAATCTTGAGATAAATATTGAGAAGAATTTACCATAGATCGTGGTTGAATTCCAACAGGTGGAAGTGAGTCATAGAAATAGGGGAAAACAAATTTTAAAAAGTTTTTTCTAGATTGATAGAAAAAAGAAGGTATTGGAGGAAAATGAAGAAATTACTTCATTTTTCTTCACCGAGTTTCCTGATGAGTATAGAAGCAAAGAGATTTTTTGAAGTTTTAAAGGAGTATGGATTGGTATGGGAAGTTTTCATGCCATCAAGAAGGGATATAAGGGGGGAAATATTTTGTTTTGCTAGATTTAGAAAGGTGAAAGATGCAAGAATCATGGCTGCTAAATTGGACAATATCCAAATCAAATACAAAAAGATTTTTGTTAACTTACCTAAGTTCAACTGAAGAATTAAATGTAAGTTTTTGAACCCTCCTTTGGCAAATATCGCACCCAATTCTTTAGGAGTGCAGTATGAAGATAAGCATAGGATTTATGGCATTAATGGTAGATCATATGCTAATGTTGTGGGTGGCCAGAGTCGGAGGATGATTGCTGTGGAAAAGCCGTCTTTTCCCATCTCCAATTTAATATAGAGGAAGTAGAAATGGATTGTTTTAAAAAAGAATTTGTTGGTATTGTAAGCAAAAGTAGCAATACTTATAAAATTCAAGAAGCTTTGAATGTGGAAGGATATTTTATGATTAAAGCAACTCCTCTTGGGGCCCATATGTGTCTTTTGGAAGAAAACAATCCTAGCGATATCAGTGAATTAGTTAAGAAAGATAGTGCGTGGATGGAGAGGTGGTTCGATAACATTCACCCCTGGACCCCTGATGATGTGGATAGGGAAAAAATTGACTTGGGTGAAATGTTTTGGTTTCCATGCCATGCATGGAATCCTAAATTTTTCAAATTTTTATCTGGAAGAGTTGGAGAGTACATATCATCTGATATTGATACTGAGAAGCATAACCATTTTGATGTCACAAGATTTCTTATTAAAAAAAAGTTTGCTATTAATCTTAACGAGGTTTTCAATGTGGAAATTAATGATAACATTTATTGTATCATGCTGTTGGAGGATTTCCATGGGCGGAAACAGATGACTATCCATAGAGAGAATGATGGGAGTAGTGGATTGGAGGAAGATGATGAAACTAGGTCTGATGAAGAGGATGGAGTTTCTAAATCTGGTTCTCACGAGGAAGATGAAGATTTAATGTTTAGACACGACATCCAAGAGGACTTAGACCATTTAGAGGTGAAGTCTAGCACTCTTCATGAAGATTATAGGGAGCAGGCGCACCAGTCTCTATGGTGTGAAATGTTACGAGGTTTTCATGATGACTTGAAAAATATAGTAGGTGAAAAGGTGTCATCTATTGTGTTGCAAAGTAATAACAAGGTGTTTGGGTCCCCAATGCAGAGTAATCATACCGTTGGAAAGGAACTAGAGTTGGCCAACAATAAAAAGTAGGTGTTAGATTCTAGTAGTGGGCCTAATATATTTCGCCCCATTGATATGGGTATGAGGGTGCCAATTCCTAATGGTTCTGACCTAATTGTATATCCAATTGAAGATTCACTTGTAGGGTCAGGTAGAATTGTATTGGGGTCTAAAGGAAAAAGTACAAAACTGTTTAAGGATATCTATGAGAATATCAAAATCCCATTTGCTCCATCATATTTTTCTGCACTGATTACTGTGAGTAGTAGGAAGGTTGTAGATCTGGTTGTGGGGTCGAAGGTATGTATGCATCCCAACCTTGAGTCAGTGAGTAGGGAATCTAGTTCGAGTTTTACTGGTGGTTATGTCCTTTGTTGTGACTCATTAAGCGATGGAGATATGATTAAAGGCAAATTGAGAATTAAAAAGTCTATGGAGGATGTCTCATCGAGGGTTTGGTAAATGATCAAAGAAATGGGCGTCGAAAGAGATGTAGATGATGATTTATTTGAAGGTGTAGTAAGGGAGCTTGAGTTGAGGGATCTAAGATGTTTTGAAGATAAGAAGGGGAATGAAATCTCGGTTCCATGAATATTTTGTTGTTCAACATCAGAGGGTGTAGATCTTCTATAAAAAAGAAAAGACTATGTCATATGATAGCAAAAGGTAAGGTTGATTGTTATTTTATTCAGGAAACTAAACTTCATGATATTGACAAATCAATGGTGAGGAATTTATGGGGAAAAGAAAATTATTGATGGTCAACTACAAATTCTATAGGTTTGTTAGGAGGTATCTTATCTATTTGGAATAAGGATACTATCAAGTTGAAAGTAGTTTTAGAGGAATTGGATTTCTTGGTATTATGTGTAAGTGAAAGGGCATAACCTGTTACTTGGTGAATGTATACTTTTCATGTACACTTGTTAAGAAGAGGATGATGTGGTCCAATTTGATTTCGTTTAAGCTCAATTTTCCACAAGGATAGTGGTTATTAGGTGGATACTTTAATGCAGTTAAGATGAAGGAAGAAAGGAGAGGGAATTAGATTGATTGTGTGCTAGAAAGGAATGACTTCTCTACATTTATAGAAGCCATGGATCTCATTGACCTCCCTGCAGTTGGCAACAAACACACATGGTGCAACTCAAATGGTGGTAGTCACAGTAGGCTAGATCATTTTTTGCAGACTGAAGGCTTGATTAACAAGTGGAAGGTAGTGACGCAACACGTAGGTGTTCGTGACATTTCAGATTAGAGACCCATATAGCTGAAGTTCAATCACAAAAACTAGGGTCTGAAACCTTTTAAAGTCTTCTCATGCTAGTTTGAGCATCTAGGTTTTTTATAATTTGTTAAAAACTCTTGGAATTCTGGGATTGGTTTGGGTGGTAAAGGTATGGTGTTGGCTCAAAAACTCAAGCATCTTAGAGAGAAAATCCGTTGGTGGAATAAGAATGTTTTTGGTTGGGTGGATCTTAGCATTGAGGCTGGGGTGAAGGCACTAAATAAAATTGAAGATTATTGGTCAGATTTTGATGGTGTAGTACTGGTAGATCAAAAGGCCTTAAGAAGCAAAGCAATTGAAGACATTTAGAGTAATATGAGAATCAAAGAGAGCGTCTTTTGGAATGGTTTGTTCGGTTGGTCGGAAGAACATCAAAAAACATGACAAATCTTATTTGGTTTTGTACGTGTTAGAATATTTGATGGGTTAGAAACCAAATAATTTTCAATGATGACTTTTTTATTGTAGGTGAAATTGTTCATGGAATTATGCATTATTCTTGGTTGTGGTTATCAATTAGCCTTTTTAAGACCTCATCTTGTACATTTTATGATTGGTCAAAACATCCAACCGATATTTTGTAATGGATGTTTGGTAATAGGTTGTTCGATGTATTAATCATTTGGTTGGGGTGATTAGGTGTTTATGTCGGTGTTTTGCATTGCTTTTTTACTTTCCCTCCGTTATTAGTTGAAGTTTCTGATTATAAAAAAACATAATAGAATAAAATATAGGGAACTGAATTGAAATTGAGTGGTATAAAATAAAGAGTGGATTTTATTGTTTGAATATTTTATAAGTGAATAGAAAAAACTTGTTATTCCACCTAAATTGAAGAATGAAAATACGAGAATAAGTGATAGAATGAGATAAAATGCATTTCATCATATTCTGATTCATCTCGTCCTTTTTTTGAAATCGAAATGATGGGACATAAATGTTTTTTGTTTTTATTTTTAAAAACAATAAATCAATCGAGGTACTCGAACCCTCACAAAAAAACTACAAATTCTTTAAAAACAATAAAGGATTGTCAATCCAATCAGAAGGAATACTAGACGAATAAGACCCATAAGCCATCACCAACCAATCCCAAGTAGGGATGGCAACGGGGCAGAGCGGGGATGATTGTTGTATTCCCCAAACCCAAAACCGAATTCTAAATAAATCCCCGTTCCCCGTCCCGAACCCCAGCGGGGATGAATAATTGAACCTCAACCCCGTCCTAAATGGGTTCGGGGATTCCTGCCCCGCCCCCAAACCCAAACCCTGCCTCAAACCCAAATTTTGCCCCAAACCTAAAACCTGTCCCAATCTTAAGAAATATTAACTTGTTTTACAAAAATAAAATACAATCTTGAGGAATTTCAAACATATATTTCGAATTATAAAATACAAACGAAAGTATTAATTCATTAATCATACAATTAATATTTCAAATTAGCAAAACCAAATAATACAAAATATAAAAACAAAATAATAAAATACACATTGATATTACAAACTACCATCCAAACAAACACATAGTAAAAAATATTCTACATTCTAAAATACCAACAAAACAACAACATAACTAAAAATATTCAATATCATTTGTCAATGAAAATTGCTAGTCAAAAATAGATAAGTGGCCAACACCAATATTGTTTTCTTTCTTTCTCTACATAATAATAAACGGGGCAGGTTCGGGAGCGGGTTCGGGGTGGGTACTAATTCCCCATTACCCGCCCCATCCCCATATTTAAAAATCGGGGAAAACCCAAACCCGAACCCAAACCCAGTCAAAGCGGATTTTCCCCGTCAAATTTGGGGCGGGTTCAAGCGGGTACCTGCAGGTATGGGTTATATTGCCATGTCTAATCCCAAGAAATAGATTTGATGGAACCTACTAGTTACAATATACTCAACTGAAAACACTTCCCCATTAAAAATAAAGTCGTTACGACCCTTCCAAATCTGCCATACCGTAGCTGCCCACAATACCAAGCCTAAATTGTTACTAGTCATCCTCCTCAATTCTTCTCCATAATACCTGAAAGCTTCAATACAACTCGAACCACTCAACAAATCAAACCCCAACCAACTACCTATTGATCTCCAAAACTTAGCAGCAGCTGAGCATACCAAAAACAAATGAATTGTGCTCTCCTCAGAAAAGTTGCAGATCACGCACAACTGAGCATGGCCAATGATAAAGATTCCCTCCTACACAGCTGGTCCTTAACATCGATACGATTTAGAAACAACCTCCATAAAAATAAGTGGATCTTAGACGGGTTTTCAATTTCTACATCTCACCAACGTTGAATGAACATCAACGACTACTCCTCTTGAAGTAAGGTCCTGCAATAACAAATTATAACAGCACGCAACAGAAAAATAACCCGTGTTTGAACTCGGCCACTGAAACACATCTTCCTTTTCTTCATTAGGCAATGCACTCTGCAATAGCAAAACAAAAGCTTCCTTTTCCTTATACAAAACTGAGTTAGTTGCAATATCAGGAGGAGAACTTCCAATCACACCCTACTCCTCGAATAAGCATCAACCACACTCAACTTCAGAAACAACGAGTGTGCAAACAGTTTTGGGAAAACCTCCTTCAGGGGAACATCGTCCAACCACTTGCAACACCAAAAAGACAGATACCTACCATTACCTACATGACAAGACAAATTATTGACAAAGAAATCTAAAAGTAACATCTTGTCATAGCATAATGAAGAAAAATCTCTCCACCAAATGGATCCAGATTTTCTACCGCCAAGGCCATTGTTACAAGTCACTTCCAACTCTAAACTTGAAGTAGAATATCTATGCTCTAATATTCCTTTCTAAAAAGTGTTTTTCTCTGTTAAGAACCTCCACTTCCACTTGAGGAGTATTTATGGGACATAAATGTATTTCATTCTATTCAATTTTATTTCATCATATTCCATAGACCCAAACATAGTTAACATTCTGACATCAAACAATATATGGTTGAGCATGTGTTTGTAAGTGAAGATGGTCTTTACCTTACAACTCGATTTTGTGGGCTTGAATCAGACCTAACCACAATTTTTAGATTGTATAAGAGTCCAGTTCAAGATAATCTTCATCAAAATCTTTAGTGTTGGACGTGAGGGTGTGCATTTAGATTTCCATATCGAACAATATATAACGTGGACATATGTTTATAACTGAGGAGGTTTCAGACCACTCATACTTTATATTCACATACTAACTATTTTTTTCAAGTGGGGACAATCTTCACCTTACATAGTAGCTTTGATCTAACACACATATGTTTGTGAAAAATTATTTTTTTAAGTGGGAATAATCTTTACCTTACATGTCTGTTTTGTAAGATTTATGTTAGGACAAACAACAATTTTAACGCATAACACAAGATTTTGTTTTAGATTAATGAAATAAAATGGAAGAGAATTATGGATTGGGATATAATAAATTTTAATTTTCTATATTTTTTTTTAAAAAAATTGGATGGAGCATAATAGATTGATAGTTATATATACAATTTCAATTTATTACTAACCACAACTTTTCTTACTCTTCAATTTGGATAGAGTTGGACGCAGACCTGTGTAATGCACGGTATTTTAAAATGTCATATATAAAATTCATATTAGTATGAAACAAATAGTTGAATGAAAATAAAAAAGTTTTAAATATCATAAAAGAAATTATATAGTTTTATATAAATAATCTACTAAATAACTATGAATATTTTGGAACACTT